GATAAGCGCCTGTACAGAGGTGTGGCAAACTGCATGTAAAAATCTGGGCTAGCAGACAGATGATTCTGTTCAGGACGCTTTGCACTTGAAGGAGGTTTATCTGACGGCTATTCTGAGAATGAGGCAACTCAAGGACCATGAAGCCTTTGAGATCTCATCATTAATTGGACACAGTGCAAGAGTGTATGCACTTTACTACAAAGATGGACTTCTCTGTGCAGGGTCTGATGACTTGTCTGCAAAGCTGTGGGATGTGAGCACAGGGCAGTGCATTTATGGTATTCAGATTCACACTTGTGCAGCGGTAAAGTCTGATTAGCAGAAGCTTGTGACAGGCTCCTTTGACAATACCATGGTCTGCTGGGAATGGAGCTCCGGAGCCAAGACCCAGCACTTCTGGGAACACACAGCGGCGGTGTTTAGTGTGGACTACAATGATGAACTGGGTACTTTGGTGAGTAGGTCTGCAGACTTAACTATGGAAGTATGGGCTTTATCTGCTGGGATATGCCTGAACACACTCACCGGGCACACAGAATGGGTTACCAACGTGATTTTACAGAAGTGCAAAGTCAAATCTATCTTGCACAGCCCTGGAGACTACATCCTCTTAAGTGCAGACAAATACTGGGAGAGAAATCAACTGCAAGTGCATAAAGACATTGTCTGTCTCTGAGGATAGAAGTATCTGCCTGCAGCCAAGACTTAATTTTAATGGCAAATACATCATCTGTAGTTCTGCACTAGGTCTCTACCAGTGGGACTTTGCCAGTTACAATATTCTCAGGGTCATCAAGACTCCTGAGATCGTGAATTTGGCCTTGCTTGGCTTTGGAGAGATCTTTGCTCTGCTATTTGACAACCACTACCTGTATATCACGGACTTGCGGACAGAGAGCCTGATCAGCTGCTGGCGTCTGCCAGAGTACAGGAAATCAAAGAGAGGCTCAAACTTTCTGGCAGGCGAAACATCCTGGCTGAACAGACTGGATGGGCAAAATGACACAGGCCTGGTCTTTGCCACCAGTATGCCTGACAACAGTCTTCACCTAGTATGGCTAAGGAGCATGGCTGATGCCCCAAGCTTCCACCTCTGACTGACTTTGGGTGCCAGGGCTGCAGGTTTTGAGTGCAACCTCTGTGGCAGCTGAGTGCATGAACCAAAGTTCTCACCTAATGGTACCATCACGCAGTGCACAATCATTTATCTATATTTGCCGAGGGTCTGCGGTGGGGGAGGGCTTGTTTTATTGATTTACAATGCAGCATGCTAATGGGATACAGCATTGACTTCATTTGTACTTAGTTAAGTTGGTCACTATAAGAGGATGCATTTTGGGTTCATCTTTCTTGTCTGGAATATTGGTTTTAAGTAAAGAACATCAAATTGGTCCATAAAAAAAAAAAAGAAGAATAGGTTTGAAGTATTCAACACCACTGACAGAAGACCAGATGAGTTGTGGGATGATTTCAAGGATATCATCCATAAAGAATGTATTAAGTCATTACAAAGACAGAGGAGAAAGAATTAAAAAAAAAGTCAGAAGAGACATTGATTCTAAAAATTGCACTAGAGTGCCAAGAAGCCAAAACAAAGGAAAAACATGCCAAAGTGAAAGAGCTGAACAGAAGGTTTCAAAGGGCAGCTGGAGAAAAAAAAAGCAAAGTATTATTATAATGGAAAAAAGCTTATTATTATAGTGCAAAAAAGCTGGAATTGGAGAATAAAAAGGGAAGAACTTGCTCTGCATTTCTCAAGCTAAGAGAACAGAAAAAGAAATTTAAGCCTCAAGTTGCAATACTGAAAAGTGCTATGGGCAACACACTGAATGACCCAGAAAGCATGAAGAGAAGATGGAGGGAACACACAGAATCACTGTACCAAAAGAACTAACTGACACTGAAAAATTTCAGGTGTGATATGAGCAGGATTCAATGGTAATGAGCAAGAAAATGAAAGCGGCATTGAGTAAGGCTCCAGGAATTGATGGGATACCATTGACTTGTTTCAGTTAACAGATGCAGCCTTGGATGCATTAACCAGTCTGTATCAGGAAATGAAGGACAGCTGTATGACCAACAGAGTGGAAGAGGTTCTTATTTGTTTCCATTCCCACTAGGTGGGTGATCCAACAGAATGTGAAAATTATCAAACAGTATCATTAATATCACCTGCAAAAAAAAATCACATGCAAGCAAATTACTGCTAAAAATCATTAAAAAATGGATAGAACATTACATAGACAGGGAACTACCAGAAGTTCAAGCAGCATTTAGAAGAGGCGGTGGCACCAGGGATATCACTGGCGACGTCAGATGGACCCTGGCTTAAAGTAAATACCAAAAGAATGTCTGTTTACACTTTACTGACTATGCAAAGGCATCTGACTGTGTGAATCATAACATGTTATGGTTAACACTGAAAAGAATGAGAGTCACAGAGCACTTAATTGTGCTCATGTGAAATCTATACCTAGATCAAGAGAATGTTGTGTGAACAGCACAAGGAAACACTGTTGTTCTTGCTGTGTGCTGTGGAGTTGATTGCGACTCATAGCAAACATGTACAACAGCCCTAAGCCCTGCTCTATCCTGAGCCAACCTTGTCTCTGACACACCTACCCCAATCACCCCAGTCACTGAATCAATCCATCTCATAGAGGGTCTTCCTCTCTTACACTGTCTGTCCACCTTCCTAAGCATGATGTCTCTCTCCAAGGACTGGTCCCTTCTTGCATCATGCCCAAAGTATGTCAAATGAAGCTTCAGAATCATTGGGAGTACACCAAGGTTGTATTCTCTCTACCTATTCAGTCTGTATGTTGAGCAAATTATTTGAGAAGCTGGACTCTATGAAGAGGAATGCGGCCTCAGGATAAGAAGGAGATTCATTAATAATCTGTGTTATGCAGTTGATACAACCGTGTTTGCTCAAAGTGAGGAGGACCCGAAGCACTTGTTGCAGAGGATCAAATACAGCCTTCAATATGAATTGCACCTCAGCATCAAGAAAACAAAGATACTTACTACTGGACATATAGGCAACGTCATGATGGGTGGAGAAAAGATTGAAACTGTCAATGATTTCATCTTACTTGGATCCACCATTAACACCTTTAGCAGCAGCAGTCAAAAAAATCAGGAGACGTATTGCACTGGGAAAGTGTGCTGTTAAAGACCTCTCCAAATTATTGAGGAGTTATGATGTCTGTTTGAGAACCAAGATCTATCTTTCTGATCATTTGCTATGCATCTGAGAATGGACAATGAATAAGAATGACAGAAGAATTGATTCCTTTAAGCTATAGTGTTGGAGAAGAGCACTGAACATACTATGGACAATCAAAAGAACAAAGAGGTATGTCTTGGAAAGGGTGCAGTCAGAATGCCCTTTGGAGGCAAAGATGATGTGGCTTCGTCTCACATACTTCAGGGTTATTGCTTGGGGTGCTATTCCTAGGAGAAGGACATGGTGTGCTGGGAAATGCGGAAGGTTAGGGAAGGAAAGAAAACCCTCAACCAGGTGGACTGAAATAGTGACTGCTGAAATGGGATCTAGTGTGTCAGGAAGTGTGAAAATAGTACAGGATAGAACAGGGTTCAGATCTGTTGTTCACAGGGTCACTATGGATTGTACTCACGTCAATGGCACCTAACAACAACATAAGGTAGAGATGAACAATTTTCATAGAACTGAAATTTCTGACCACAGTGTAATTAAGCTAAGAATCAAAAAAGGGTGGCTATCAGCTCTCCACACACACATCTGGAAAATAAGAAACACATTGCTAAATAGCTTATGGGTCAGAGCAGGTATCATAACATAAATATTTGGAATGAAATGAGGGTAAAAGATAACAAACACAGCATAACGTGTAGGATTCAGCTAAGTTAATGCTTCAAAGTTTTAGACTTAAAATGCATGCATTTGAGGGTGTGAGCAGAGGGGTGAGGATGGGCCAGGCTGGGGAGTCACACAATTTGATGGGTGGAAGGAGGGATGGGTAAAGGAAATGGGAAAGATCTCGTGTGAAAAAAATGTACATGAACTTTGTAAGTAAACCAGCATAAAATTTAAAAAATTATTTTAAATAAAAAAATAGTATGTGTTAGAAAAGAGAAAAAGGCTGAAAAGTCTTAAAATCTAGACAACTCAAGAAGGTAGTAACCATGCTATTCATAAAGAAAACACTTGAGAGAAAAAGTGGAAGGGTAAAGGAAAACAACCCCAAATCCATTGCCCTTCAAGTCCATTTCCATTCACGTAACAAAGCAGAATCGCTCCGTATGCTTTCCTTGGAAGTGACTTGTCAGGCTTTTCTTGCTGGGGCCAGTTTCCCGGGCAGTTTCAAACAGCCAAACTTAACAGGTGCTAATATCCTTAGTTGGGAGCACCTGTGGCCTAGTGGTAAGAAGTTCCACTGCTGATGAAAGGCATGTGGTTCGAATTCACCAATTGCTCCTCAGGAGAAAGATGGACAATCTCCTCCTGTGACATTTACACCTCTGAGAATCTGCTGGAAGGTCAGCCATGAGTCAGTTTCCACTTGATGGCCAAAACATCCTTAGAGTATGTTGCTGTTAGGTGCCGTTCATTTGATTCTGATTTACAGTAATCCTATGAACAACAGATCAAAACGTTGTCCTATCCTGCACCATTCTGACACTCTCCACTGTGCTCAACTCTACTGCGGAGATCACTGTGCCAACGTATTTCCCAAATTACCCCCAAATCACACAGGAGACTCTCCTATAGTATCCATGCAACAATTATTACTCAACGATGTTGAGTTTATTTGCCATTCTCACTAAATGTAGGGGCAATTTCTTTTTCATAAACCTTATCTTTCTTTTCCACAGGACATAGCAGGCAGCATAAAATTCAGTAAGCACTCAAAAGCTTTTAATTTTTGCTCCTAACAAAGGAAAAGGAATGGCCTTTAAAACGTTTTCTTTCTCTCTGCAGGTAGGGATTGTCCCGCCTAAACAGCAAGCCTTACTTTATTGGTGCAGTGGCTCCTTCCGGTCCTCCTAGCTCAGCAAGAGGGACGAGATCCCATTTAAAGTGCAGGCCCCAGTTGAAGCCTCCTCGCACAACAGGAGATGAGCTGTACACCAGCGTGTCGGCGCTGATGATGTCGATCACTGGGCACACCACGGTGTGAGGGTCCTCGTGGACGGCGGCCAGCAGGGGCTGCAGCCACATCACGTTCACCTCACAGTGGCTGTCGAGGAAGACCAGAACTTCTCCTGAAGAGACAGAACAGGAGCCAGTAAACTAAGGTCTGTATCACTCATCTCAGGGACGGTTACCAATTGCATGAAATGATACATGGCATGAAACACAACTGCTATGTTTACCACCTCAAACAATATTAAACCATGGCTTTATCACCAATTATAAACAAGAGAATCCGTCAGCCAAGAATTCTTCCTAAGGGGACTGACAAAATTCAAGAATACACACAAATAACATATAGAACTCTCTGTTTCACTGTGATTTGAGTGAAAGTTTCCCCATTCATACATTTTATGACATTAATTGCAAAAACACACTATATTAGCACTCCTCCTGCCTCCAGGTGATTCTGTAAATCCTTCTCTTCTACCTCTTCCAGCTTTCTTTAGTCCTGGGCAAACCTTGTCCTTTTGATTTTGTGTGGGTGATAGTGCTAAGTGAGCACTTGTCTGGTGTACTCTGTGTGTTGCTGTGTGACTCACAGCTGACCCTCCACTGGGATTTCAGGGGCAGTAAATCCCAGAGGAGGAGCCTGTTCCTCCTGCTGAGCAAGTGCCTTTGGGATTGCAGTGCAGCTTCTAGTCACTAAGCCACTCGACCTCCCTATTCACTGTATAGGTTTATCTATTATTGGGTAAAAATTGAGTCGAGGGGGGAGTTTTGTTACAGCTCCAAAGGGTGACTAAGGACTATAAACTCAAAATGCATTGCGATTGAGCTGGACCCTCAAGTGCCTTCGAATCGAGTATGATCCACAGCGACCTACAAAGAGATCTGAATCCTGTCCTATCCAGTGCTGTCCTCACACACCCTCAAGCCATTTCTGCTGTACAGTCACTGTGTCAATCCACCTGGTTGAGGGTCTTCCTCTCCGCTGTCCCTTCACTTTCCCAAACATCGTGTCCCTCTCTAAGAAATAGCCTCTACTAGCAACATGCCCAAAGTATGTGAGATGAAGCTTTTTCATCTTTGCCTCCAAAGGGCACTCTGACTGTGCCTTTTCCAAGACACAACTGTTTGCTGTTTTGGCCATCCATAGGCTGTTCAGTGGTCTTCTCTAACAACACAGCTCAAAGCAGCAATTCTTCTTCTGTCAACTTTAGTCACTAAAGATAGCATAGCAAATGACTGAGAAGACCATGGTCTAAATCAGACACACCATAGTCCTCAAACTGACATCACTGCTTCTCAATAATGTGGAGACTTTCCCAGGGCAGTACATCTCCTGATCAGACTGCAGGTACCAAATGTAATGACTGTGGATCCCAGTAAGATGAAGTCCATTTAAGAGGCTGTAAACTGCTAAGAGGAAACTGACTATCTTCATCCTAAGCAGCTGCTGATGTACTCAAACCACCAGAGGTGTGGTCTCTGGGTTGGCAGCACAACTCTCTGTGGTCCATGGCGCTAGAGCTTCTACACTTGGGGACAGAAACTAAGTAGATGGCAGAGAGGCCGCAGTCTTCTTAGGGAGCTCTGGCGGTCCACTCCATAGAGAACTGTGCTACCAGCCCATAGCTCCACCACTGGCTACACAGAGCCGCTGTGTCCACCCACTGCAATTCACAGCTCTGGAAACCCAATGGAGGGTAAACCACAAGGTTCCAACTCAACCGCAAAGTGTTTTTGGTTAACAGGTCAGCAAACAAAGCCTTTTTTGTGTTTTCTGAGTTTTGTGTCCCCCTTCCCACTCTGTTCAGGTCCTTTTACGGTGAACCCTCCTAGGGCAGTCAGCACTGGTGCTGGACACCACTGACCTCTGGTCTCAGGGTGGTAGAGGCTGATGTGCAAGGAGATAAATTACTCCTCTAGATTAATTATTTTTATTAAATGCATAAATCTTGGGGAGGGGGAATCTAGTTTCTCTTCAGTAGAAAGATTCAGAGTCCCACAGTAACAACTCAGCCCTTTGGGATGACCAGGTATTGAGTAACTCAAGATATAATCGCATAACTAATGTTATGTAGATATTTTTATGACAATTTTTTTAATGTAATTATTTACAATTTAATATATGTTCAGAATACATTTCCCTGCCTCAGGAAACAGAGTTTAGTGAAGATAATATATTTTTTTTTCCTTGTTGTATGTCACTGAGTCAGATCCAACTGGCAAAGGAAGATACCAACCCTCCTTCTCCAGCAGAGCATCTGCTAGATTCGAACTGTGAGCCATCGGGATTGTAACGCAGTTTCTTGCCACTAGGCCACCAGAGCTCCCTTAAGATAATACATTATTTTTATAAATTTGGCTCATAAACATCATTATAAATTATTGGTAGAAGATGGCAAATTTCTCAAAACTGAGGGTAGATAGTACATACACCCTGAAAGCATCTTTGATGCTGGTGCTGCATCCTGCTACCACCTTGGACTCACCTTGTATCCTGTCACCATTCCCACCCTCATTCCCATTTACTTTCCGCCATTTCTCACCTCTCCTGTCTCATTCTTCCAATCCTCTCGACCCTAGCAAAACATAAATCATGAAAATTTTATCCTGCATTTTAAACTTCTCTTTGCAACTATGATCAAGAAAGAAAATTCTCTGTTAATTTCTGGGTTATTCTGGGCAACCTAGAAACCTAAACCTTGGCTATTAGATCATATTAAATTTTATTTTTTTTTTAAATTAAAAGTTTGGGGGCGCAGGGGGAAGGACTGGGCAGGGATAAAAGCGCAACAATGAATGAACAGAAATCCAAAATATCTGTAAATGTTCATTAAAAAATTACAATTAAAAAAACAAACAAAAAGTTTATCTGTGAAATGTAATGATACAGATTTTGCATGAGTTTCTTAAAGTATCATTTGCCTCCTATTTCAGTTAATGACAGCAAAGTAAAGGAATGTTCTTAATGACGACTGTGAATTAGTCATAGAATTAAATGCTCGTAAATGGCCTTATGTCGGATGTAAAACACATAGAGCTTGACAGCTGTCATATAATGAGGAAAGCATGAACATTATTCAAAGTGAAATTAGATCAATTCAACCACAGTTCCTTTGAGGAGAAAATGTATTCATAGCTCTTCTTAATCCTGAAAGTGTTATTTTTTTCCAATTAAGGCCAATTTAATGCACTGGGTAAGATTATACCTTATTACAATAAAATTACTTGCTTCTAACATATTCTAAATTCTTTTATTTTAACAAAGACCAACAAATAATAAAAAACCTAAGTAAGCATTGACAGCTGAAAAAAGAATAAAAAACAACAAACTAATACAACTTATAAGAGTATGTTACAAATGTCATAATCCTGAACATACCCTACCAATTTCACTGGTTTTCAACTTTATTGCCTTCCTGAATTCAATGTGGGAAATTCTATAAATCTTTATTTGATATGAAATTTTAGAAGGGGGAAGATCATAAACCTTGAATTCAACTGGCATACACTTAGGAGAAAAAAGAAGAAAAGTCCTAGAAGTCCTAATGCTAATGGAACTTGGGGTTTAATGGAGGAGTGGTGGCAGCAAGTGGGTCAGCCACCTCAGATCCAGAGAGACAGGAGCACCCAAGAACAGGGGCACACTGTCGTGCTGAGGACTAAACACCTGCACCCACCACAGCCAGGAACTTTCAGACTGTTGTTGTGTACCACTGAGTCAGAACTGACCCACAGCTGACTCTCCAGTGGGTTTTCAGGTTGTTACTGTTGTTGTTAAGTGCCATCAGATTAGCCTCCTAATTTTTTGCCATATTTTTATGCTACCTGTAATAGCATATACCTAGTATGTTTAAACTGATTCATTTGTTACAACTTGAATGAATTTATGAGTATTTTTCAAGATCATAAATGAAAATCTGGATTACCATCTTATATACGAGGTAACTTTAAAATAAATGAAAAAGATATTAATAGTTTAATTAATTAAAAATAAATTCAGTGTTATCAATATTATGTCACTGAAGACCACCCAGGTATATTTTGTACACAAAACTTATTATTTCTCAAAAGAGGAGGTTAAGCGGATGATGGAAAGGTTAAAAAATTCTTTTAGTTGAAAAAAAATGGAGACTCTTGTTTTGATAAAACTAGAGGAATTGAGAGCGAATTTTTAAAATGCATTAGACAATTCAAATGTTAATATTATATTCTTTAGCAATAAGTTCATACAACCCAAGCTTTTCCCCCACTGTACCAAACACTGCTTCCCAAAGAATACAATTTCACAGTGTTCCTTCTGTTCAAGATCAGGAGAGTCAAGGCTGCAGCTTTTTCAGAAACTTCAATCAGGAAGCCTGTGACTGTCCTGAGACCATTACTCACCAGTTGCTGGCCCATAAACTTTAGAACAGCATGAATCTAGGGAAAGGCATCATTAAAACAGTTAAGATAAAAAAAAAAACCAGTTAAGATCCTCTCCTCTGGGTGGAGTTCAATGGTGGCTGCCATCTTGGTAGCACATTTGGGAATGCTGAGTCATGTAATAGTATGTAGGACAAAATTATCATGTAGCCCTATACTATAAAGTCTGCAAAGCCCCCAACCTTGGACAGAATCTGAAGCAAGTCTCCTGTGTGTCTCGGCTCATGCACGACAGTAATAAAGCTGTGACTTTCACTCTACATTTTGGTGTGTCTTCGTTGGCCCCAGTGTTCATCATTTGCCAGGTAACATGATCACCAGAGAAATACACTTCACATTTGAGTAGTAAAGGCAGCACATTTCAAATCACAAGGTGTGTACACACATCTATAACTTTGCATTAAAAACTGAAAAGTTCAGTTACATTTTGGGTTTGCTATGGGTCGTTTTTGACTCTACGGTACACAAGAACAACAACAAAAGAGAACAAAACACAAAGCATCTTTAACTAACAGTAAGAGCCACAATAAAAAGTCAATAAAGACTACATTGCTCAAATTCATATAAACTGGCCACTTAGGCAAGAGGTTTGGAGTAATGAAAAGGCCTTTCCCAAATGAAACAAGTCTCATTTCTGCTGGTTAGCACGTTTATCAGCATTTCTAAACTACAGCATTCACCCAGTCACACAGAGGAAAGCCGGCTTGTCATACCTGTAGCATGGGCAGCTCCAATCATTCTTCCTCGAATCAGTCCCTCACGCTTCTTATTCCTTATTACTTTAGTTTTTGCAGGGAGGTATTTTTGGACATATTCATCAAGTTCTCCTTTCAAATCATCTACAAATCAAGGTTCACAATTACTCAAAGTAGGCTGGAGATACATAAAGTCATATTCTAGATTTGTCTCTCTTCTGCCAAAGACAAACTCTAACATTGTACTTGGTGCTGTCTAAAATCCACAACTAATTAATTACTGAATAACTATTATAAAATCAAATATTAGAAAAGAATATTGCAGCTTATCCTGTCAGGAAGGAAAAAAAGAAAGAAATGAAAGATTAGAGCTGGAATACCACCCAAGAGGAATAGTATCTTTTTTTAATTTTTTTTTTTTTTGAGGAATAGTATCTTTAAGTACAAAATGATGAGTAGGTAAGGTGCCAACTTTCCTTCCGTTTCAATAGCTACTAAAAGAAAATTACTGTGCATAGGGAAGGCAGAAATGAAAATATCTTTAGTGACTAACAGTCAGTGGATTGCATTTAAACCACATTTAAAACAAAGTGACATAGTAAGTGGATTCAGTTTTAAAATAATTAAGTCTTACACCATGTCTTCATTATCCAGTGCTGCCAAAATAAGAGTCTACAAATGAATGACATTAACAAACAGAGTGCAACAATGAATTAATGGAAACCCAAAATCTCTGTAAATGTTTATGAAAATTAATAAAATATAATTATAGAAAAACAAACAAACAGAACTTCACTCTCTTAATGTTGAGGTGACCAAAAGTTCAAATTTAAGGTCTTGACTTACAGGAAGGCCTTCTCTCACTGTCATTTCTGGAGCTTCCTCTAGACCCTGTTCCTTTTAGGATCTGCATGCCTGGAGTTAATTTGTTGGAGGTCTCTAATTGTCTTGGTTTTGCCCTAGGTCTAAGATTTTTCCAGGATAAGGACCTTGGTCAAAAGGTCACATTAAAAAAAAAAAGGCCACATTCTTCTCCTGGTCTTCTTTCTTAGAGAAGCCCTCTTCTCTAATAGTTTCCACTCTTCTTTTATCTCTTATGAGAGGAAAAAACCCTAAAAATGTATTTACAGGTCACACCCTAGAGAAAATTCTTGTTCATCCTCAGGCCTTTTACCTTGTTAAAGGATTGCTTTCCACTCTAATCTCCTTACAACAGACTAACTGGCTGATCACATCAAGGGGAGTGAAACATCACTGTACAATTGCTTCTTTCTTTTTTTTTTTTGGTACAATTGCTTCTATTACTACAACATTAACATCAGAGAAGTCAGGATTTACAATACACAGGATATTTACATTATACTGAGAAGCATGGCCTAGACAAGTTGACATATATTTTGGTGGGTGACACTGTTCAATCCAGTACATTCAATCCATTACATCAGAATAGATAAGAAAGAACTTCCATCATCTCTACAAAGTATATAACAAAAGTTATTGAGTACCTTTCTTCTAAGAGTGTTAAGAATTTTTTTGTAAAATTTTAGCTCATTCAAGTTTAAATTTCAAAATACCTTTTAAAGATTCTATCTGTTCATCAACAAATGAATAGATGGAAAAAAACAAAATGGAGTATTACACAGCACTGAAAAACTGAATTCATAAAACATTACACAACATGGGGGGAAATATCTCAGTTCTAACAAGAAATGTTTTCATACTGAATATTTAAACTATGATTATATGACCATGATTTTTCCTTTAAAATAAAATACAGATAAGCTAAAAATAAGATAGAGGTTGATTTGCAGGGAAAAAAAATCCAACAAAAGAAAACCTCAACAAAAAAAATCCAATTCTAGAATTTAGTATTTATCTAATCTTCTTAGTTCAAATCTGACTTACTTGTGAAAAATTAATCAGTTGTAAAGTTATTTTATTGACACTACAATTTAAGAAACATTTTTGTTGCTGAATATACTGCAAAACACACAGCTCAATGGCTTCTATATGTACATTCCAGCAACATGGATTATATTCTTTGCGCGATGCCACAGTGTTCTTTCTCCTTTTCTGAGTTGTTCCTCTCCTCAAACACAAACTCACTGCCCCTTAAGGTTCCCAACCAGTCTTTGAAGTTGTTGCTGTCATTTGATACCATCTCGTCCTTAAGGAACGCTGGTGGTGTGGCATTTAAGCGCATGGCTGATAACTTGAAGGCCAGTAGTTTGAACCCATCAGCTGCTTCTCTGGAGAAAGATGTGGCAGTCTGTTTCCAGAGACTGGAAACCCTCTGGAGCAGTTCTGCTAGATCTTTAAGGTCGCTAGGAGATAGCACTGACTCCATGGAGATTTTTTTGATTCCAAGAGTTTTTTTGGTTTTAGATAAGTCTTAATGAAGTATAATGGCTTGGGCTTGGCACTGTGAAATGGCTAAATGCACCAAGAAAGTCAAGATTGTTGGTAAACATGGAACCTGTTATGGTGCCTCCTTCAGAAAAATGGGGAAGGACATGGAAATCAGCCAGCATGCCAAGTACACTAGCCCCTTCTGCAGCAAAACCAAAATGAGTGAGGAACTGTGGGGACCAGGCCCTGTGGTTCTCGTGTGAGGACAGTAGTTGGTGACACCTGGATCTACTCCACCACCTCTGCAGCCACAGTGAAGTCGGCCATTAGAAGACTAGGACCTGAAAGACCAGCAGAAGCTCCACCGTTGGAAGCATCTCTAGCATTTAATAAACTGGTTAATTAACTTATATATGTTGTTGTGTACCATTGAGTCAGAACTGTCCCAGAGCTGACTCTCCAGTGGGTTTTCAGAGGCAGTTAATCGCACAGGAGGAGACAGCCTATCCTTCTCCTGCAGAGCAGCTGGTGGCCTCAAACTGTGTGCCTTTGAGATTGCAGTGCAGCTTCTTACTTCTAGGCCACTAGAGCTCCTTAATTTAGATAGATAGATAGATAGATAGATAGATAGATAGATAGATAGATAGATAGATAGAAAGAAAGATAGATAGAAATTTCACACATACACATCAGAGAGAGCATGAGAGAGACAGCACGAGAGAGAGTACACACAAAATGGCCAAAATAAACATTTTTCACTAGTTACCTACTGGTTTGTTTTGGTCCCCGTCACCTCCCACCCCCTAGTTTGGTTTTAAGAAAGCTTCAGGGAATACTTTGGTTTATAGTTTCACCTCAGAGCAACAGTTTTAGGGGTTAATCTAGCTTCTTGGCTCCTGAAAACCCATTGCTCTGAAAGTTTTGTTTCCCTTTGGGAGCTCTGGTGGTGTGGTCTGTACCGAGTTGTGTTGCTAATCCAAAGGTCACATCTGTTGGTTCAAATCCACCAAAGCTCCTCAGAGAAAAGATGGGCCATCTCCTCCTGAACAACTTACAGCCCCAGAAAGGTAGTGGAGGGTCAGCTATGAGTCACTTCTGAGTTGACAACAGTGATTATTTAAGCTTTCTCCTGGGGGCTGCCTGGCTCTGGCAGTTTGAATCCACCAGCAGCTTTGAGGGAGAACCATGGACAGCATCCTGGAACAAGGTTGAGGGTCAGCTATGAAGAGGAACTGATGAGGGCAGTTATCAGATCACCAGGCTCTAAGAACTCTGCTACTCTTAAGCTCAATATGTATTCTATGGGCATACTGATGCTGCTACTGACAGAAGAGGAGTTTAATCAATGTGTGAATGCATGAAAAAGCATGTAATTGACTTAAAACTTACTGTTCACCACTGCAACCTACAGGAATGAAATAAAGGCTGAGTAAGTCAAGATCTAACATCAAGATTACCTCTGAAAGTCTACTGGATCTTGAACAAATTACCTAATTGTCACATTTTTCTTCTCTGTAAAATGAGGGTCTGATTAATCTTACAAGGCTGTTGAGAGATGAATGAGTACTGAAAAGAAAAGATGCACAACACTGTGCTGTGTATACACAAAACAGCTGTGAGAAGAGTCTCATTAAAAGTAAGGTGTACTAAATAGACTCCATCATAGACTACTGGCATTCATTTCTGAAATGGAATTCAGGGGGAATTCAAAGATCAGGTAAGTCAAACCTTCAATTTATGCATAAGGAAGCTGGAGGCAAACTGTAGCTGCTAAAAATTATTCAACCTTACTTGAATGTAAAAAAAAAACTGGAAGGCTTCTCAATGATTTAAGAACCTGCCAGTGGGGGTGGGGAGAAAAGTGCAACAATGAATGAATGGAATTCCAAAATCTCTGTAGATGTTAATTGAAATTAATAATAATAATAATAATAATAATAATAACCTGCCAGCGCAGCAAGTTTGGATGACTCGGATGAAGAATTTGTTGTGGGAGGGGTAGATTAATTGTTTCACAGTGATGGCATATTTACATGGCATTAAAGAGCAAGTAAAATCATACCTAAAGCTGCTGTCTGAATGGAACAAGGGAACACTGCACAATTTAAAATTAAGAAAGGTAGGTGTCAAGACTGTATCCTTTCTCCATAACTACTCAATCTGTATGCTGAGCAAACCATTTAAGCGGCTGGGGTTTAAAAAAACAATGTGATATCAGGATTGGAGGAAGATTCATCAACAACCTGTATTATGCAGAGAACTCAAACTTGCTTACAGAAAGTAAGAGCTTAAAACTTTCACTGCAGAAAATCAAAGACTATTGTTTTCAATACAGATTACATCTCAACTTAAAGAAGACAAAAAATCCTCACCACCGGATCAACAGGCAACGTCATGATAGATGGAAAGAGACTGAAATTAACAATGATTTCATCTTGCTTGAATCTACAATCAACACCCTACATACTAGCATCCAAGATAAAAGAAAACACAACTTATTGCACTAAGAAAATCTACAGTCAGGGACTTCTCCTAGGTGATAAGGAGCACGGATGCGACTTTAAAGGTGCAACTGATTCAGGCCTTGGTCTTTTCAATTACTTGCTATGCATCTGAAAGTTGGACAGTGAGTAAGGCTAACAGAAGAACTGATGCCTTTGATCTGTGTTGGAGAAGAGTACTGAATATCCTATGGAATGACAAAAGAACAAATAATATGTCTTGGAGAAAAGTATCACCAGAGTGGTCCTTAGAGGCAAAGATGGTGAAACTTTGTCTCACATACTTTGGCCAGG